AAATACAACCTTCCAAAACTGACCAAGGAAGAAACACGAAATCTAAACAGATCAATTAATTACCAGCAACGAAATTGAAGTGGTAATCAAAAAACTACCCAAGAGCAAAACCCCCAGGCTCGATGGATTTACTGTAGAATTCTATCAGACTTACAGAGAAGACATAATATCCATTCTCCTTTAAGTTTTCCAAAGAAAAGAAGAGAAGGAAATACTTCCAAACTCATTCTATGAAGCCAGCATCACGCTAATACCAAAACCAGGCAAAGACCTCACCAAAAAAGAAAATTACAGACCAATATCCCTGATGAACATAGATGCAAAAATACTCAACAAAATATTAGCAAGCCAAAATCAAAAATACATTAAGAGCATCATACACCATGACCAAATGGGATTCATCTCAGGGATGCAAGGATGGCACAACATTCGAAAATCCATCAACATCATCCACCACATCAACAAAAAGAGGGAGAAAAACCACATGATCCTCTCCATAGATGCTGAAAATGCATTTGACAAAATTCAACATCCATTCATGATAAAAACTCTCAACAAAATAGGTGTAGAGGGCAAGTACTTCAACATAATAAAGGCCATATATGACAAACCCACAGCCAACATCATACTTAACAGCGAGAAGCTAAATGTTTTTCCTCTAAGATTGGGAACAAGGCAGGGATGCCCACTCTCCCCACTGTTATTCAACATAGTACTGGAGGTCCTAGCCATGGCAATCAGACTAAACAAAGAAATACAAGACATCCAGATTGGTAAAGAAGAAGTCAAACTGTCACTATTTGCAGATGACATGATATTGTATGTAAAAAAAACCCCTAAAGACTCCACTCCAAACAACTAGAACTAATATCGGAATTCAGCAAAGTTGCAGGATACAAAAATAATACACAGAAATCTGTTGCTTTCCTACACACTAACAATGAACTAGCAGAAAGGGAAATCAGGAAAACAATTCCATTCACAATTGCATCAAAAAGAATAAAATATGTAGGAATAAACCTAACCAAGGAAGTGAAAGACCTATACCCTGAAAATTACAAGACACTCTTAAGAGAAATTAAAGAGGACACTAACAAATGGAAACTCATCCCTTGCTTTTGGCTAGGAAGAATTAATATTGTCAAAATGGCCATCTTGCCTAAAGCAATCTATAGATTCAATGCAATCCCTATCAAAATACCAACAGCATTCTTCAATGAACTGGAACAAATAGTTCTAAAATTCATATGGAACCACCAAAGACCCCAGATAGCCAAAGCAATCCTGAGAAGGAAGAATAAAGTTGGGGGGATCTTGCTTCCAAACTTCAAGCTCTACTACAAAGTCACAGTAATCAAGACAATTTGGTACTGACACAAGAACTGAGCCACAGTCCAGTGGAACAGAATAGAAACTCCAAATATTAACCCAAACATATGGTCAATACAATAAAGGAGCCATGGACATACAAGGGGGAAATGACAGCCTCTTCAACAGCTGGTGTTGGCAAAACTGGAGAGCTACATGCAAGAGAATGAAACTGGATCATTGTCTTAACCCCATACACAAAAGTAAATTAGAAATGGATCAAAGACCTGAATGTAAGTCATGAAACCATAAAACACTTAGAAAAAAACATAGGCAAAAATCTCTTGGACATAAACATGAGTGACTTTTTCATGAACATATCTCCCTGGCCAAGGGAAACAAAAGCAAAATTGAACAAATGGGACTATATCAAGCTGAAAAGCTTCTGTACAGCAAAGGACACCACCAACAGAACAAAAAGGCATCCCATAGTATGGGAGAATATATTCTTAAATGACAGATCTGATAAAGGGTTGACATCCAAAATATATAAAGAGGTCGTGCACCTCAACAAACTAAAAGCAAATAAGCCAATTAAAAAATGGGCAGAGAAGCTGAACAGACAGTTCTCCAAAGAAGAAATTCAGATAGCCAACAGTCACATAAAAAGATGCTCCACATCGCTAATCATCAGAAAAATGCAAATTGAACCACAATGAGATATCACCTCATACCAGTAAGGATCGTCACCATCCAAAAGACAAACAACAAATGTTGGTGAGGTTGTGGAGAAAGGGGAACCCTCCTACATTGCTGGTGGGAATGTAAATTAGTTCAACCATTGTGGAAAGCAGTATGGTAGTTCCTCAATATGCTCAAAATAGAAACACTATTTGACCCAGGAATTCTGCTTCTAGGAACATACCCTAAGAATGCAGCACTCCAGTTTGAAAAAGACATATGCACCCCTATATTTATCGCAGCACTATTTACAATAGCTAAGAAATGGAAGCAACCTAAGTCTCCATCAGTAGATGAATGGATAAAAAAGATGTGGTACATATACACAATGGAATATTATTCAGCCATGAGAAGAAAACAAATCCTACCCTTTGCAACAACATGGATGGAACTAGAGGGTATGATGCTCAGTGAAATAAGCCAGGCAGAGAAAGACAAGTACCAAATAATTTCACTCATACGTGGAATATAAGAACAAAGAAAAAACTGAAGGAACAAAACAGCAGCAGAATCACAGAACCCAAGAATGGACTAATAGTTACCAAAGGGAAAGGGTCTAGGGAGGATGGGTGGGAAGGGAGGGATAATGGGGGAATGTGGGGGGAGAAAGGGGGCATTATGATTAGCATGTATAATGTGGGGGGGTTCATAGAGGGCTGTGCAACACAGAGAAGACAAGTAGTGATCCTACAACATCTTACTATGCTGATGGACAGTGACTGTAATGGGGTTTGTGGATGGGACCTGGTGATGGGGGGTGTCTAGTAAACATAATGTTCCTCATGTAATTGTAGATCAATGATACCAAAATTTAAAAAAAAAATTTTTCCATACACATAAGAACTTTGCAACTTTCAAAACTGGAGTGTGGTTATGGAGTCTATGATACTTTGATATCCAAAACCCATGAAATAAACTATACTGTATAAAGTTATAACAATTCATCATTCACTTTCTAGAGTAAGACAGCTCTGATTTTGTATTCTGGCTTTGACACTTAATAGTTATGAATTCAGGACAAAATTTTTAAACTCTTTTAGTGTGTTTCCACTTGACATGTAGGATTAGGTACACTTACTTAATAGGTAACACTCCACGTTGTAATTATGAGAATCATATGAGCTAAAGCATGCAATATATTAAAGTGTTTGGCACATAATACACACTAGCTGCAATGACAGCAACAGATATTGGTTAAAATGATTATAGTATGCTCCAATTTATGGAATAAACATCAGTAAATTTTCATTCATTACATGTAATACTTGTTCATAAAGCACTTTTATAACTTAGAAATGGCTTCACATTTGTTGTTCCATTTGATTCTTTAAAAATCTTGTGCTTAAACAGCAGAGGTATTCACTTGCAGAGAAATTTATGCTCATAAGTTGAAGTAACTTGCCCAGGCTACAATCCTATTTAATGGCAATTGTGGGACTAGAAGTCTGGTCTTCCAGCTTTCATTTGGTGAACCTTCCTCCAGTCCACTTTATCAATCTCTTCATCTTTTGGGCAAGTAAACAGTTTAAGAAGTATATTTCTTTGCTGACCTTCCTTACAGGAACACACTAATATGTAAATATAGTCACAAAAACATTAATGAAAGGCGGTGTATGAGTATGACTGACTGACTTCATTTCCCTCCAGTTTTATGACTTCATATAACAAATTTTATGACTTAGTTTGTCAGAGTGGACACTGTTTTCAAATACTGTAGGCAAAGAGAAAGATTACTTCACATACTTCACTCTCATTCGAAGTCAGCTTCAATTGCTCCAGTTCCTCTCTATGTTTCTGTTCCATTTCTGCTTCTAACTTGGTAACATCTTCAATGAGTTGCTTCCTCCTCTTTTTGTCATTCTTGGGAACAGCATTCTTCATACCCTGAATTTTGGCTGAAAAGCCACCAAAATCATCAAGTCAAAAACCCAGGTACTAAGCGGAAATGAGAAATAGGAACAGTAAGAGGATGGTAAGAAGACAAGCGCATAGAAAAAGTAATTATGGAAGCAAGAAGAATAACTGCGTAACAATCATTTACAGAGAGTCCAGGTGTAGCTTAGACCCACCCACCCCAAAATATCATTAACATAACCCAAATTTGGTGCGCTAGGAGGAGGAAAAAGGAAAAAAAAAGTACTGATGTTTCAAATCCTTCACGTATCCCTTCTGCGTCCTCAAAACTGGGGTAAGTTATTTCAAAACGTACCCATTGGAGTCAAGTGTCGGTAACTGGGGCAGGAATCGGAAAGGGGGACGGGGGAGGGAGGTGAACAGTCTGGGTCCGAGATCGTGGCTTGGGGGTGCCTCCAGTTACCAGCGCCGAGCGGCGCCGCGCCACAGCAGGACCGGCGGACTGACCGGAGGCAGCTGCGCACCGTTTGGGGGATTCAGGGAACGCAAGGGCCAGGGGGCGGCAGAGAAGAGACCACCAGAGACTTTGGGGCGATCCGGGAGGATGCAAATTCCCTCTTCCTCCAGACCGACCCGCCACGCGCCCTTCCCTGGGTCCCGGCGACTTTCAGGTTCCCACTCTCCCGTCACCTTGCAACTCCTTCTTCTCTTTGCGATGCCTTCTCACCAACTGCTCCTCCTCATCAAGCTCCTCTGCAACGACTGCCTCCATGACGACCAGGTAGCCCTGCACACGCGCAGGAAAGAAACCTGCACCACCGGCTGGCAGGCACCTTCCACCCCTCAACTCTCACCCGGGACACCATTGGCCGCGGCTGGGACCCAGCCCCGCCTTCAAGGCGGTACCGGATCGCCCAAGAATCACTGGAGCGGAGAAAAGAGACTGGGAGCCTGCGCGTGCGCATTCCCGTGTTCAGGTCTGATAGGGCGGGGCGCGAGGAAAGAGCGGGAGGGCGCGCTGGGGTGTGGCTTAGCCAGCCGAAGTTTGCAGTCTCGCGATTGACTAGCGTGCGAGAATTTAGGAGCGATAGAGCTGCGCACCAGGCTATTGGTCCTGATTGGGGCGCGCACAGGTGACGTAAGGGGAGCCATTTTGAACGGCCGTTTTATTTCGTTAGTTCCTTCGAAGACTCTCTTCTTCACTTTTGGTCCGGTTTCTCAGGAGCTCTTCTAAAGGTGAAAAGGAGAAATAAAACATTTCAGTAAATGTAAATGATTATCAGTGGGCATCTTTGGGCTGAATCAATCGAACGGTAAGGAATTAAGTTGTTTTTATTGTTTTCAAGGTCCAAATACCGCATTTCTGAAAAAACAGCTAAGTAAACGAGAAAATGCCGCCTCTTGAAACGGAAATAGCGGAAGGAACAGATCGGAGACTAAGGATGGAGTATCATATGACAGAGATTAAAGAGCTGTGCTCAGCGATAAAGAGAATAGTATCAGACCATGTGAAAAATAGCAGGCATTTGAGAGAGAGAACGGAAATGTGCCAGCCTAATGGGGCACAAAATCGAGTTTCTGAAGTAAATGCAAAACAAGAGGAATCCTCACAGCAAGCGGAAGAAATGGAAAAGAAAGTAGAAGAGAGACGTAGAGAGCGGTCCAGTAGATAAAAATCTGTGCCTAATAAGAATATCTGAAACAGGCAAAACAAATGAAGCTGAAACGATAAATAACTAATAGAAGAAAATTGTCCAGAGTTGAAGAGCAAACCAGATCTGCAAGTAGAAAAGGCTCAAAGATACTTTTTTTTGAAGTTCAGCGAAAAGAAAGCAACAGCTTGACATTCCTGGTGATGTTTTTAAATTGGAAGAATGTAAAAAAATTATACAAGTATCCAGAGAAAGCAAGTTTATTTATAAAGGGGCAAAAGTTAGGCTGACTTCTCTCTGACATCAGATTTCTCTCCTGCAACTCTAAATGCCAGAAGATAGTGTAATAATGCTTTCAGTTTTAAGGGAAAATAATTTTGAACCAGTATTTATATATCTTGGCAAGTTATTTCTGTATGAAGGCAATTGGAAGACATTCACAGATACGCAGGGGTTAAAGTAAATCACCCAATTATCATCCTTGAAAGCTTTACTGAGTATCACAGCCAAAGAATGAATTAAAGTAACTAAATAGTAGGGGAGTGAGTTATGAAAAAATTAGTGGTAAACTTTTAACTAGTTAAACAGTATTAAGATTGTTATAGGTAGTTATAAAACCAAATGCAAAATAGATTTTTAAGTTGGGTCTGTGATTTGTTTGAAAAGACATGCTAAACGTTAAATAGAGGAATGAATACTGGATTTTTTTTGGCATGTAGTGTAGATATGCATGTTCTTAGCTAAACATAAATAAAAGGGCTTTGTCACTGGACAGGACACATTCCAAATGTTCATCTGACAAAATGGGAAACCAGTTGGTACAGTTGTATTACCCCTCTTTTTAATTGTAAAGGAGAAAAAAGTTACCAGTTCGTAATATACTAGTACTGTAAAAAGAACATTTCCAAATCACTGGTTGGGGAGACAGTGGATTAAAACCTTATTTTGTGTATACATCTTGCCTGAGGAAAATCAATAGGTACTGCTGGTGTAATAGTTCATTATAAGTAAATTTGACATTGAGGTTTAAGATGAAAATAGAATATATATTCTAATTGTTTGGATTGTAGCTGAAGTGGTGAAAAAACAATAAAAATAGCAAGGAGGTATTAAAACTAGCATAGGATAAATTGACAGAGGTATAGATAAGTTACCACACTCATAAACAGGTTAAATATTCCTATTAAAAATAATTCAGATTGGATCAAAAATTGCTCTGTAACCATGGATACTCTCATTTGTATTGCACAAGTATACAAGTTTAAAGATAATGGAAACAAGTCATAGAAGTAGGCATAAACATTTTTTTATTAGAACTCAAGCTACAACGAATTATAAAACAGTACAGGATGTTTAAGAGGTTTTATGGTAAATAACATGGCATTCAGAATGTAAAACGTTTGATAATCTTGATGTGAGTGGTAGTTATACTGATGTATGCATATGTTTAAAAAGTTATAACTTAAAATTAGTCTGTTTTATGTACTTAAAATGAATAGAGTAATTCAATTAAAAACACTGCAAATACTATTGGACTGAAATACAGTCTTTAGTAAATCAAGTAAATAAAAAGTTGAAATAAAGATAACTAAATAGTTAATGAGACTTGTGTATATTTCATTTGCATTCTTTTCAAATTATGAAACATTTCTTAAATTATAGGATACAGAGAAAACTAACGCATTTCTAGAATGCACAAAGATCATGTTGCAAAACTTAAAAACTCAGTTTAAATGCTAAAAAAATCACATACTTGAAATTTTTGAAATGTTCCTAAATAACTTCTGGGTCAAACAGGAAGTTATAACAAATACTGTTAATTTAGGAAATGGAACAATATGGTGTTGTACAGTATATGTTATGGGGTAGATGTACAAAAATCAAGGAATAGAATGCAAACACTAATATGCAGGATGGAATATGCACCTACGAAAGACCTAATTACAAGTTTCTAAATTTTGCTACCTTCCAATCCTATATTTAATATAAGCTATTCTAAGTGCCATAATTAACTTCTGGTGACAGTTTTCTCCCAAAGAATTTTAACATAATGGATTCTAAGCTGCTGACAAACATTGATTCTCAAAGATGGAGAAGCCAGTCTCTTCTGCCACCCAACACACCCACTGTTTTTGCTCTGCCTTTCTCAGCCCTCTATTTAAGACTTCTTACTCTCTGATCTTTGTATTGAAAAGTATTGTATTCGGAAAAGCACCATCAGCCATTGCCTAAGAGCTTGTTAGAAATGTAGTGTCTCAGTTTAATAGCAGCATGGGATTGGATTATAAATATTTCATTAAGCATCTATAAACCTCACTTCACATTGTGCATTGTGCATTATGAATGCTTAATAAATGTTGAATAGTAGTATTACTAGAATCTAGAAACAGTTTTGCTTAAGCAGTGTTAATGTACAAGAAATTTTTGTACTTTAATTGTTTACTATTGCATAATCCCTATTTGACTCAAAGATTTGGTCAAATTTTCCAAGTATTTTAAGTGAGGACTGATGCTTCTGTTTTTCCCTGGTCTTAGAAATTTGTGAAGATGGTACAGAAGGGAAACTTAAGGTTGAACCATCCAAATTTAGAAATGTTGAAAGAGTACAATTTAAAATGGTTAAGTAAAGAATAAGCTTCTCTCTAATGAATAAAATACCATGGGGTAGATTTAAATTCAAGTGACATCTGGGTATTTCAAGGTCTTTGGATAAAATCACAAAGCTGTATCTATAAAAGCTATAAAGAGCCTACATTATATAATCTGTGTCAGGTGGGTAAATAATAGTAGTAAATGGAATGGCAACTACTAAAGTTATAGACAGGACTTTTTGATTCTCCAATAATCTACTTCCCTGAAGGTGATAACACCCTTCTATTAGTAAGAGTGGGCTAGACTAGTGCAACTCAGATTTGAATATGCAAACCAGTTGCCTGAATATGACACTAACGTGCATATACCATTGTACCATATTTGGGGTAAACCTGAGATTCTGCTTATGTGCTGAATCTGCCAGTCTGGATACCTATCACACTTCAGTTAGAACAATAATAAAACCTACACTGTATCCACTAGCCATAAAATGAGGCTCAAAAGTAATTGGTGTAAGTCCACACAGTAGTTATCAAAACCAAATTTGATTTCAAAATTAGTTTTTGCCATTTACATAATCCAGCCTTTCATCCATAACACAGCACCTACCTAGAAGATTGTGAGGATAAACTTCTAATATATATGAAAAGAAAGCTAATGCTTCAGGTAATGCAGAAAATAGCTCATGGAGGAGAAAAATGAGTTCTATTTTAACTTGTTAAACATGATTTGTGCGGGACATTTGTTCAGACAGGTATTTGGAAATTTAGGTCCAGTGCCGAAAGATGTCGGGATTGCAAATGCAGGTTTGAGTTTTCTGGTTTGAAGATGGTGTTTAAGGCCATGAGAAATCACCAGGATGATAGAAAATAGAAAAATATGGAAAGGAGATTAAACTTTTTTTTTGGTATCATTAATGTCCAATTACATGAGGAACATTATGCTTACTAGACTACCCCCATCACCAACTTTCCCCCACATACCCCATTGCAGTCACTGTCCCTCAGCGTAGTAAGATGCTGTGGACACTACCTGTCTTCTCTGTGTTGTACAGCCCTCCCAGTGCCCCCCACCCCCCACACATTATACGTGCTAATCGTAATGTCCCCTTTCTTCCCCCAGCCCTGCCCCATTATCCCTCCCTTCCCACCCATCCTCCCCAGTCCCTTTCCCTGTGGTAATTGTTAGTCCATTCTTGGATTCTGTGATTCTGCTGCTGTTTGTTCCTTCAGTTTTTCTTTGTTCTTATACTCCACATATGAGTGAAATCATTTGATAATTGTCTTTCTCCACCTGGCTTATTTCACTGAGCATAATACCCTCTAGTTCCATCCATGGTGTTGCAAATGGTAGGATTTCTTTTCTTCTTATGGCTGAATAATATTGCATTGTGTATATGTACCACATCTTCTTTATCCATTCATCTACTGATGAACACTTAGGTTGCTTCCATTCCTTGGCTATTGTAAATAGTGCTGCAATAAACAGGGGTGCATATGTCTTTTTCAAACTGGAGTGCTGCATTCTTAGGGTAAATTCCTAGGAGTGGAATTCCTGGGTCAAATGGTATTTCTATTTTTAGTTTTCAATGGTTGAATTAATTTACATTCCCACCAGCAGTGTAGGAGGGTTCCCCTTTCTCCACAACCTTGCCAACATTTGTTGTTTGTCTTTTGCATGGTGGTGATCCTTACTGGTGTGAGGTGGTATCTCATTGCGGTTTTAATTTGCATTTCTCTGATAACTAGCGATGTGGAGCATCTTTTCATGTGTCTGTTGGCCATCTGAATTTCTTCTTTGCAGAAGTGTCTGTTCACATCCTGTGCCCATTTTTTAACTGGCTTGTTTTTTTGTTTGTTGAGGTGCATGAGCTCTTTATATATTTTGGATGTCAACACTTTATCGGATCTGTCATTTATGAATATATTCTCCCATACTGTGAAATGCTTATTGTTCTATTGATGGTGTCCTTTGCTGTACAGAAGCTTTTCAGCTTGATGTAGTCCCACTTACTCATTTTTGCTTTTGTTTCCCAGGAGATTAAACTTTAAGAGACACATATATTTGATAGGTAGGTGTTAAAAGGAAAATAAAATATTTAGATTTTTAGTTCCAATTGAATTTAACATCAAAAACAGTGCACTACAGTCAACCCTACACTTTGAGAAGAATAATCAGGAGTATGTGGCTTTTATCTTTAGATTATTTTTTTAACTTCTAATTTGCAAATGTTTTTTTTTTTTTGCAAATGTTTTTAAAAACCTGTAATGGTACAACCATTATTCCACTATAGATTCTAATTTATGATTAATCACCACATATCTGTATATAGTTAATTTTTGTTACTAGTGGTAGTTATGTACTGTAAGTTCACTCACACACTGAATTAGTAAATAATATAGCATTGCCTTTAAGGAGAAATACAGGATTAGATTTCTGCAAGCTCTAGTCCTGTTATTTCAGTCAACTGATCAATACATAACTTTATTTTAAGACAACTTAATATCTATTACTGATTCACAAACAGTGAACTCACAGACAACAGCACTATAACTCAGGACCTGAACAAACTTTACAAACTTTATGTAATGTGTTTTTTCTCCATATGGCACATCACAGCCTTATTGCACTTAAGAATATACACAGCACTATGCTTAGGGACCATTTTAAACAGCAAAATTACCTTTTGGCCTATAGCTTGCTTAACTTCTCAACATTAGTCCTTCTGTCCACAATTCCACTTTCATGTCAGTGAAGCCTGCTCTTGTCCCTCCATATTAAAAAAAAAGCAAGGTGCTCTCCCCATGCAGCTCTCTTCCCTATTTCCATGTTTAACTTGTTTGATTTTTCTTCATAACAAGTTTTTGCCATCTGATAATACACACACACACACACACACACACATGTTGTCTATCACCTCCCTTGGCTTCTGTGACACACCCTCTTTGCTTTTCTCCTTTGGTTCCGGTTGCTCTTTCTCTCACACTGAAATATTCTGGGTCCCTTTGGGCTCTGTCCCAGGCCCATACATCACTCTTTACACATTCTGCCACTTCAATCCACATGACTTAAATTACTACATCTATATGCCAACAGGACTTTTCTCCCAGTGCCAGGGTCATATACAGGGTCATACACAACCTCTTGGGTGGCTTCATTTGGATCGCTCCAAAGGTATTTCAGACAACATGCACAAACTGCTCTTCTCTAAATTTGTTCAGGGTTTTGGTTTTGGTTTTGTTCTTTTTTGAGTAACCTTTATGTACTTCCAGGATTTTTTTTTTAAATTTTGGTAAGTGGCACCACTATATAACCTAGAAGACCCTATATGTTTTTTATTTCCACATTGATCTTTGATCCCACCTACTCCCAATTGCAGAACTTCAACCACCTTGGTCTTTTTTTGTTTTTGGAAAAATTAAGATTCCTGCTTCAGAAGTTTCTCTCTCCATGCTTCCCTTTGAAAATAATTCTCAAAATATCACCCAGATTTCATAAATCTGGCTCTTTTATTGTCATTCGGGTCAAAATTCATTGTTTCATTTTATCAGAGATATTTCACATAACAACCTATGTGACACCCCACCAAGTGTGTATCAGCAATCTCAAGGCACTGTCATTCACTTTGCCTGCTGCATCATCGCCAGTGCCCTGGATTACTCTCTGATAGCATCTTCCTTTGCCTTTTTTTAAGTTTTATTTATTGAGGTATAACTGACATATGATAAACTACAACCAGTCAACAAATAAATGGCACCACTGTCCTCTTAGTTGCTCATAACATAAACCTGGGTACCATTCTTAAATACTTTATCCCTTACCCTTTACTTTTTACAATTCAAAGTTCTACCTTCTAACTATAACTCAAATCAGTTCACCTACCTCCAATAACCCTGGCACCACTCTAGGACCAAGCCTGAATCATTTTCACCTTTATTACAAAGCATACGTCTCTGATTTTTCTTTTTTCTTTATATCACAAAAAGATTGATATTTATAAAAATCCAA